GCACTGTACCCTGGTTACTTGAGTGGTTTATACCAAAGCTAAGGTTATACCTTAGTGGTTTATACTAATGATTTCCTCTACAGTCCTGTGCAAGGTTCAGGGATGCTACTTCCCCAGAGGCCACCTGAGAGATAGGAGGGCAGAAGAAATGCCAAGAAGTGATTGTTATGGCGAATCCTACCATTCTTATCTTGAGGCAGGACAGCTCTGGAAAAACTAATGTCCAGTCCAGATCTACCCTAGGCTTGCCTTTTTCTGAGAGTAGATGCACACTGGTCTTTCCTCTGTTGCTCTCCCATCTTACTCTCTTATTTACAGATTTCTTTCCTCTCTCCATTCATCACAGGCACCCAAATCCCTGCCTCTGGCTCAGCTTCCAGGGCATCAGTTTGTAGACAGCCCACATTCATCTTTATTTATTCCTTGATAAACTCCACTCCTCTCTTTGTTTGACTTGTATTCTGATCCCTCTAAATCTCCAAAGTTAATAATAGTCAAACCCTGGCTGAGAAACAAGGGAAGAAGCAGATCTAGGGCAGTGGCCAAAAGTGATCACTGATTGGGGGTGTGGAAGGGAGAGACTACTTTAGACGTTTTTGTGTTAAGCTTGTTTTGATCCTAGAATAGCCCTTACACTAAGAAATAGCAATCCCACCCCACAGTCTATGCCTTCAATTTTAGGTTCTGCCATGGCTTTATAATGTAATTCTCTGCCAACACAGGAGAGTTGGCTGTAGGTGTGGACTAGGGCCCAGTGTTTGCTTCCTTTTCTGGTCTTGAGTGAGCTGAATGCAAATTTGAGTAAGATGCACACTCCCCAGGTTTCCTTGAGCAGGCATGGTGATGGGAAGGAACATAGTACTCCTACATTGCATCAGTTTTAAGGGTACAGAATTCCAGATAACAGCCCTGGGATATATATATATATATATATATATATATATATATATGCCTTTACTGTCTAGGTATTTGGCACCATGATCACCATAGTCTACATTTATTACACATTTTTTCCCTAGAATTTTGAATTGTCATCTAAACGCCACCACTATTGCTTGCAATCTTTCACTTCCTCTCCACACTGGACTGTGGGGCCCATGAGGGCAGGGGCCAAATCTGTTGGTTCACTACAAAATGCCACATTCTTTTCAAAGTGCCTAGTTTGTACAAGTTCAGCAAATGAGCTGACCACATGCATGACATAATAGTCTGGAATAATAGCTCTCTCTGACACACACACACACATTTGACAGCCAATAAAACACTTAAGTAGATCACTTTATCCTCATTACAATCTGGAAGGTAGAGACCTTGGGGATGGTTTGCACCAGCTTCTTCTAACCACCTGGGAATTTTGCCAGTAGGTTGTTAAACCATCAGCAATTTGATATTAGACATGGTGGGATATTTATATCCTGGAAGTTTTCAAAGACTGTAAATAAAGGCCTTTCTTTTAAAAAGGGCAGATTTATCAGCAAATCACTGGAAGTGGGTTTGTCAAAACTGCTTTATGAATGGGTAGTAAGAGATAACTTTAAATATGGTTTTCCAGCTGAGTTTCAGGGAGATTCAGGGACACCCCCAGGTCCTGACTACAGAGAAATGCTGACTCCAAATACATTTACAGATTCCTGAACATGTTTCTGGAGCACCAGCTATGTACCAGCTTCTGGCTGCCATATAAAAATGGGAGTGGGGCATAAATGAATAATTAAAAGCTTCCATCAGTATTCCTCTCAAAAGGCAGGGCTAGGGCTGGGGAGAGACAATAGCAGGTAAGACATCAGTCTTTTATACAGTAAACCCAGGTTTGATTCCTGCCCCCGGATATGGTTCCCTGAGCCCAACCAGTAGTCAACCCTGAGCACAGAGGCAGGAGTAATAATCCCTGAGCCCTGCCAAGTGTGAACCGCAGACCAACCAAAACAAACCCCAAATAGGAAGGGTTGTAACTACTCTTTACAGAAGCCATTATTGGATCAACACTTGATGACTGCAGTCTGAGAAGGGTTGTGTCACTCCACACAGCCTGTGGTATATGGGGACAGAGGGTTTACATCTCCTGTATAGGGCTCCCATTACAGAACATTCAGCTTTTATACTAGAAGCAGTCTCAGTTCACTCTGACAGGAATCTCCTTCCACCTTAGGTTCCTCAATCCCTACAGGGCTGTTTTTCATTCTTCCACATCCTTCAGCTATGGTGGCCATACTCTGGAGGGAGAACAGTGAGGAGCTCCAACAGGAACCACTCAGGCATTGTCCCAAACTTGTGTCACCCTCCCTTCCACTTTCCTATGTTGAAGTGTTTCTCAACTGAGGGTCTATATGAATCCCTTATAGGCCCCCAGAATATTCCAAAGGGGACACAGGTGAAAATTACCTAAGTTTGAGGTCACAGAGAGGGCTGGAGTGATAGCACAGAGGTAGGATGTTTGCCTTGCACGCATCCAGCCTGGCCTAGATGGGTTCGATTCCTCTGCCCCTCTCAGAGAGCCTGGCAAGCTACCGAGAGTATTTTGCCCACAAGGCAAAGCCTGGTAAGCTACCTGTGACATATTCAATATGCCAAACACAGTAACAACAAGTCTAAAAATGGAGACGTTACTGGGCCCGCTCGAGCAAATTGATGAACAACGGGAGGACACAGAGACAGTGAGGTCACAGTATGAGACTAGAAGTAAATCTATAAAACAGGGAGATCCAATCATAGGAATGATATAAGGTCAGAAGGGGGCCACCCACAGCCAGAAAAAGGTTAAGAAACAGTGCTTAAGAATGGGGCCTTATTTAGACTTAAATTGTAGTTGAAGATGTCATGAACTCAGGATGAGTCCCCAGAGGAGGGGGTGCATACTCCCTACAGTTTCTGACAGCCAGTTCAGAAATGTGATCCAGGGGTTAGAGATAGTCAGGGGTCACGGAGCTTGTCTCGCATATGGGAATCCCTTGACATCATAAGGGGTCACTCCTGAGCACAGGAATAGCCCCTGAGCACCACTGGAGGTTGGCCTTAAACTACCGCCACACCCAAATAGAATAGAATAACATTAAGAAAAAAATATATGATCCAACAAACTGCTTTGGGGCAGATTCTAAGGATACCTAAGAGGGTATCCACATGCTCCATAGAGGAGAAGGCAGTTTCATTAACCCCTTCCTTGACAAAGGTCAAAGAGGGGAGCCATGGAGCCCCAGCCCATTGTGGGGGTACTCTTTGTGAGTTTGCTTTCCTTTCCTGGCTGCCTGCTTCGGCAGGGTTCTGCACACACGCAGCTGTCCTGCTTGCTGTCTAGAGCTCAAGTGTTGCCCAATTGATGGTGTTCTTGCTTCTAGATTATCTGTATTCTTGGGTGGAAATGTCAGCCCGAGCCAGTGATTTGTGTCACTTTAGTTTGTGGCTATCTATTCCCCTTGCCTCACAAAGAGTGTTTTATCTCTTTCTGTCCAGTAGCCTGAGTTCCTGAGGGAAAACAAGTTAAGGGCATGCCACCCTCTTGTGACTTATGGGAATCTGGGTGAGGTCCAGGCATGGTGCACCTCAATGAATCTGTCCATCCACCTCACCACCTGCCGCCCCTCCTGCAGTTTCCATTCTCTGCCCACATATTGATCTGATTCTTCTCAGAGGTAGAAAAGTAATACAGGACGATTCTTGGTACATGTTTTGTCAAACACTATAAATATTCTCTCTCTCTCTCTCTCTCTCTCTCTCTTTCTCTCTCCTTTCTCATATGTGTTTTCTCTGTCTGTGTATGTGCACTGAATATTTTTCACATACATATAGGAATACTTAGGTCACTATCTATGTCTATGTTTTATATTTATATGTCTAGTTTTATGATTTTCATCTCTATAGAGGCAACTTATGAAATGTATGTGCTATCAATAAATGCAGGGAACAGAATAGAATTGGCCGATTTGGGTGTGTTTTATGGGGAGGATAGCTGTTAAAATATCAATTCTATAACAAAAAGATAAGCCTGATTTCTAACCATTCAAGCTTGTAATAGGTTAAATGATAACAAACCATTCATTGATTTTTTTTAAAAAAGAGTAATAAACAGAAACATGTACCAATTGAAAGAGCCAGGCAATTCAATTATAATTAGGAAAACAAAAAGTGATGAGCCTGAACAATGCTGTCTTTGTTTGGGAGATAAGTGCTGAAAATGGCAACAATATAAGCAATGCAGAGTTTGTCTTCTTGTTATTAAAGACACAAACACTAATCACCTTATTTTTGAAAGTCATATGCCAATTGAGTGAAGTACAAAACTTTGAAATAGGCCTAATAGACATTAAAAGGACTCTATCCTTTTAAAAGGACTCTATTAAGTGTAGACTCAAAGACAGCGAAACTATAGAACAAAAGGACATTTGCCTAGAATTATATTCACCATTCCACTGATTAATGCAACTTCTATCCTTCTGCGCATCTACCAGAGAAACATGCTCTGAGCTTCTAATACGCTTATACACTACGTATATATTAATCCCTAGATGAAAATGACTCCAACAACGATTTTTTTTTTTTTGCTTTTTTGGGTCACACCTGGACATCCACAGTAACTCCTGGCGCTGCACTCAGGAGTTACTCCTGGTGGTGCTCAGTATCATCCCATATAGGATGCTGGGAATAGAACCCGGGTTGGCAGAGTGCAAGGCAAACACCCTACCCGTTGTGCTATCTCTCCAGTCCCCCAACAACTATTCTTTCTTGTTTTCAGTTACTGTGTCCTAAACCTCTCCTGGGTAGTAAGAGGATTGAAGAATAGCGAAGATTAACAAAAGGGAGTTCCCTGCCACAGAGGCAGGGTGGGATGGGGGGATAGGGGGTGGGAGGGATATTGGGATTAGTGGTGGTGGAGAATGGGCACTGGTGGAGGGATGGGTACTCAATCATTGTATAAAAATTTGTAAGTCTACAACTGTACCTCATGGTGTTTCACTAATAAAAATTAAAAAAAAAAAACAACAAACAATGACATGCCAACATACCTTTTGTAGCCAGACGAACACAGTTGATTTTGGTCTCCTGTAAACAACAAAAGAGAGACTCCAGTTAATTTTATTATGGCACTGGTTTGTTATAGAAATTTAAAAGTATGTGACCACACATTTGCATATAGGTGTGCATTATGTTTAACGGTTTTTCCTATATCATCCCGTATTTCACTTCATACACATACACACAAATCACCTATGAATTTTATTTTATCATTTCTTTACTCATTACAAAGACATTTTTCACCTTTCATTTCCTGGGTGCCATCACCTCTTAAGACTTTTACCCAGATAGAATTACCTCATAATAGAACTCATCTATAGTTTTAGTGCGTGCACAATGATACTTGGTGTGTGCTTCATTCAGTGGCATGGATTCATCAAGGGCACCCAGGGTAGCTTTGGGAGACTTGTTAGGGTTAAATATGGCACCTATATTCACAGACTGGAATAGATCATGGCAATATTCCAATCAATATTAACAGGTGTGAATCCAACTGCAAAATTCATATCAAAGAGTCACTCAGGCCAGAAATCTCTGGCTGACATCACAGATTTTCTAGACACTGTTACATGTGTGTTTATGACAATAAAGTATTTGCTCAGTGACCTCTCTTGTTATATTGGCCATTCTCCCAGATGGGCGGAATCCATGACTGTGTGCTATAGCGGTACCTGTAATTCAGATACAGAGGAGTGTGCTTAGAAGAGAATCAGCTTACTTTATTGAGGCCACTACCCTCAAGTCAATGAAAAGTTCTAGTTGATGGCTGAGTGTATCATTTGCATGCAGAAGGGCCAAGTTTGATTCCTGATATCACACAATTTTTCTAGGTACTGCTAAGAGAGACTTTTAGGCATGGAGCCAGAAGTACTTCCTGAGCATAACCCTCAAACCAAACTAAAATAATAAAACGGAATTCCACGTGACTGTTTTACCTCCAACAATAGTCTGAATGCAGTACAACAATGAAAATGAAATTCAAAAATGTACATGTGGGAATATAAAAAAATGTTGGTCTTACTGATAATATACTTTTAAGGAAAAGCATATTCAAGATTTTTGTAATTCAGATAGAATGAATGAAATATGAAACCCATGAACTTTTGTGTAGTCACATAGAGATCAAAGCTAATATCTCCCACAGGTATTAATGTTCATAGCGGAAGGAGTAAATAAAAGTTGTAAAACCAAACATTGACAATGAAATATTTTGAGTCAGAAGTAAGACTTTCATTTCTCAGGTTTCATTGGTTAAAACCAGTCACATAGCTATGCTTAACTTTAGTGAGGTAGAAAAGTGGAGTCCTCCTTGTATCCCAAAATAGGAAGAAATGGAAAAGTCTACAGAAGTCTATACTTCAGAGTGAGAAGTCTATACTTCTGAGTGATAGCAACTGCCACTTCCATGAAATCATGTATAACTCCCTGTGATTATTCCCAGTGAACTTAATTTTGTTCCTCAAACCACAGAAAGTCTGTTCTTATGGGACGTACAGCGGTTAACATGTTTGTCTTGCATGCAGCTGACCCAGATTCAATCCTGACAGCCAATTTGAGCTCTGCTAAAGTGACCCCAGAGAACTAATATCTGAATATCTTTCCTATACAGGCATGGTTAAGTTAATTTCTTCTTGAAAGATGACTTATTTGATAAGTTTGTTTGGGCGTTTGCCTTACAAGCAGCCAACATGGCCAACCTGAGTTTGATTCCTCCGTCCCTCTCAGAGAGCCCGGCAAGCTCCCAGGAGTATCTCTGGATACTCTCCTGCACGGCAGAGCCTGGCAAGCTACCCGTGACGTATTCGATATGCCAAATACAGTAACAACAAGTCTCATGATGGAGATGTTACTGCGCCCGCTCGAGAAAATCGATGAACAATGGGAGGACCGTGACTGTTCAAGTTCTTTTAACTACCCTAGCACTTCATCCTGATTTAACCTCTAGTTTCTTTCTCATAAGAAAATTAGGACTAGGGTAGGAAGCAATAGTCCACATGTGATTCTGTCAATAAATAGTTAATATTATCACTATTTTCTATTTCCCTTACTATGTGGGACTTCCATTAACATGTGTTATTCTACCAACATATAACTTCCATAATTCTACATATATGTATGCTGCATTTCTGGAATTTTTAGTTTTGATATTGAATCTAAAACTGTTATAATCCAACTCCTTTGGTCCTATTACTACAACCCATCATCTTCCTCATCATCTGAAAATTTGGGGATATATGTTTTCACTAACTTCATCCAAATTATTAATATAAGCAGTCATATTATTAATTATTAATATAAGATGTCCATGAAATTCTTAGCTATATTTAACAGCAGGCAGAGTCTCCTGCCCCTGTGCCTGGCTGTCCCTTGGAGTGGAGCGGGTTGAGTTTCCGTCCTCGCCCCGATCAGGGCTCCGGCAGCCGAAGACCTCCAGAACCAGCCACCACCATGCTGAGACCACTCTCCGCACACATGAAGGTACCGGCAGAGGAACAAAGGCATGCCGGTCCTGGGACTGAGATCTCCAAGCCTACTCGGATCGGGGCTGAGCATCCTCCACCCAGATCCTCCAAATTCCAGTAGGCAGGGGTTACACTCACCAACTGGCCCCCTGGCACCGTGTAATCCCATCAACGGCCAAGACTCAGAGACTATAAAACCCAGCTCCCGGAAGTGACATCTTATCATCTCATTCCTACTTTTGACAGACTGGCAGGCTACCGAATATAGCCTGCCCACACAGCAGAGTCTGGCAAACTCCCTGTGGCATACCCAATATGCCAAATACCAGTAACAATGATGGGTCTCATTCTCTTAACTCTGAAAGAGCCTTGAATATGGCACTTTTTAAAAAAATCTCAGGGCTAAGATGAAGGAGACGTTACTGGGGCCTGCTTGAGGCAATCGACGAATAACAGGATGGTTGTGATCGTGATAAGATGTCCACGGTCAATCTTTTTACACATGTTCTAGAGTCCCCTTTCCAGGTTGTTGTTTATCAGATTATCAGAATATTTAGTTGATTTTCTAATGAGCATTTCTTCAATGCTTATACACTCACATTCAACGGTATAATTTATCACAAAATATAACATGAGAATATAATTAAATTCACTTTGGGTACTTATATTCTGTCTACTGAATCTCCTGAGACAATCATCTCCATAACTCTTTTAAAGAAAAGAGGTAGGGTTGACATGGTTTGTTCTCTGGGACTAGTGCTTTACTTCCTTTCTTTTTTAAAAATACTGAAAGTGTTTCTTTTAAAACTACATAGTTTCAGTTCATACAATGGAAAGTAGAGACATGGTAAAAGAACATGACACATTATAGTTCAAATATTTAAAGTATTCATTTGAGGTATTCATATAAAATGTGAAATATTCTATATTCCAAGAAAAATGCGTTTCTTGAAGAATATACCCAAAAGATGGAAGGAAGGGGAAATTACTAAGAAATAAAAAGAGTAGAACTCTTTAAATGTGATGTCAAAGAAGCTTAAGTCACAAATGAGGCTTGCAAATGATGACAGAAGTGAGCAAACTTGTTTTTCAGTTTCATGTTCAGAGAACACAAAGTTTTTCAGCTTCTGTTGGCTATCAATTTTTGTTGTTTGGTTTAAAGGATCAGTGAACCAAGATCTGAGAGAGTTTAAGGAAGCAGGAGCCCCAGAGACCTGAAGAAGATCTGCAAATGCCAGGCCATGTCACCATGAACATCACTAAATGACGGCAAATGGGAAAGATTCCAAGAAACCAGAGATGGTTAGGAACTGCAACTTTATATACGAATATAAACATAGCTTGGGTATTTTTGTTTTTTGTTTGCTTGGGCTATACCTACTGGTATTCAGGGCTTACTTCTGACTCTGTGCTCAGGGACCACTCCTTGAAGGGTTTGGGGGACCATATGTGGTGCTGGGGATCCAACCTGGGTCAGACCCACACAGTATCTCTCTGGCCCCACATTGTGTGTATTTTTTGTTTTTTCCCCAGAATATTCTTCTAGGTCTGTTGTATATCCCAGAACAGTATGGTGCCATCACATTTTCCGTATTTTTAACCTTAATTAGTACAACTTTCTATTCTATACTTGCAAATCTGACACATACACTGGTATACATCACCTTGATGTGGAATATGTCCTAACGTTTAGGATTTTGATGAAATATACTTCTATTCCAGGTTTTGCCAATGTTGTACAATATTGAGCAAGACACTGCCCCTCTTTAGTGATCAGTTTCACCATTAATGACAGTGAAAGAGGAGAAAATTTCCTTAGCATGCAGTACCTTCTAAGTTTGCTTCAAGTTCTCAAATACAGAGTATAGTTTCACTTACCCACAGTGTTCCTGCCTATTCTTTTACTATTCTGTCTTTCTGATACTGCTATATCACCCTACTCTGGGACAAATGACTTTTTATTTCTTGTAAGCTATCACATTACTTTTCAAAATGACTCACAACTATACCTATTTACTTAATTATAACTTCAATTTTGAGAATAAGTCAAATCTGACTCACCCATCCATTCTTTAACTATTTTCTAAAATTATGGAATATTTCTCTGATTTGAGGGATTTACATATTTATGTCAAAGACATCAAGTATTTCAACATATACTATTAGTTATCCGGTAGGGCCTGTGTTAAGTTGCCAATTACTCAAGAAGATCTATATACCCAGAAAATGCATATAACTCTTATTCTGCTTCATGAACTGCAACCAACTACCTTAATATGATGAAATGCAATCATCCCCCTCTAGTCTTTCCATCATTTCTTCAGTTTACTTGGCCTCTGCCTTAATTTACCTGTAGGAATGTCTGAGACCCTAAGATCTTACTTACCTCCTTGTTAATTTATTCCTTGAGCCTGACAATCAATATACATGTATGATATAATCACTATTGCTAGGATTGATCATGACTGAATGATGACTGTGTGTAGAGATGTTAAACTTTGCACTAGTGTTATGAAGAATAAGTTAAAGATATGTGATCCTTGGCTTCATGAAGTATGCGTAAAG